CAAGTATGACTTTCGTCGCGAGCAAGAAACATAACTTCGCACTTACCTCGTATTTACTAAATATTAGATATCGCATACGGGATTTTGAGTATGGCACGAATATGAAACGTACGGGTTTGAGGCGTTACCCTTGTAGCTACGTAGATACAAATTCCTCGTTGAATTCATCGGGAGCGCTTCGTAACGTGAAAACGTATGCGCGCATGCACGCACACACGCGCGCATACACACACATACACACACATACCACGCGAAGTGCGTAGTACCAAATTATATTCGCGGGGCTGCGTTCGGCTAGCCGACCGGCCGGCCGGGTTCGAAAAGTAAAACGGCGCGAGGCGTGTGTACGTTGTGTACGTGTGGTACGCAAGGAGCGGCGAGAGCGAGCGAGACGCGGCGAGGAAACGAGCGAGACGATAGGAACGAGGTACCCGGCGCGGCGGTCGGCGTTCGCGCGCGACGGACAGAGAGACGCCGCGCCGAGAGGAGAAAGAAAAAGAGAGAGAGAGAGAAAGAGAGAAGGGAAACGGGCGTAGCAGTGGTGAGGGGCGAGAAGTGAGGGGACTAGATCGCGAGCGCGAGGGAGACGGGACTACATCGCGGCCGCGGTGCGCCCGCGGAGGTACGCGACAACGGCGCGCATCGATTGGCGCTCTAGCCGTGACCCCCACCATGCTGCTTTCGCTTTCACCCAATGGGGCCTCACTTTCGCGCTCGCCCGCGTTCGGCGCCGCGGCAGCCGGCACGCTGTCGTCGCCGGCTTCTCTCAGTGACTGGTGCACCCTACGTGCGAGCGAGCGTTTTTCGTGCGTCCGTGTGCTCGTCTGGTCTCGGGAGCGGCTAGCGGCAGAAAGAGAAGGAAGACGAACGGAAAAGGGCGGCGGTGAGGAAGAAGAAGGAGGAGGAGGAGGAGGAGAAGAAGAAGGAAGAGTGAGGCAGCCTCGGTGTCGACAAGCGCTACGTGTGCTCCCTTTCATCCCAGACTGTACCCCACGCTCGCGTATACCGTTAAAGTGTGCCGATTTAAATCGTCGCGGCGGTCCGTCGTGAAACGCGACGCGCGGGCGCGCGCGCGCGCTCACCGTTGGAAATTGCGTTGCACGCCGGGGCGGCGCGTACAGCGTACTCCGGCGCCGGTTGACCCTGACATTCGAGAAGCCGGGCCGGGCGGGCGAGAGACACTCGTCGTCTCGCGCGCGCAGGAGCGACATCGCTGTGATCGCGCTCGTACGAGTGTCGGGACTCTGTGAACGAACCAACGAAGCAAAGGACGGTAGCAGCTTACCTTACGATTTTAGACTTTTTGTTTTCCTCCGCGGCGCGTTGTGTCGCGGTCTAGCACTCTGACCTTGACTCCGATGCACCAGCGCGTCGATAGAAACACTAAGGAACATCGTCACGTCGTGTCTCGAACGGTGTTCCCTCGCGGTGTGCCGATCGCGCGACTCGCGCGGACGGTCCTGTTGTGACACGCGAATGACCTTGATTCTTCGACAAGGTGGCGTCTTGGATATCGAGCGAACCGGTCCACGTCTTCTCGTTTCGCGTTTCTTTATCGTCTGAGGTGATGTGTCACCTCAGGAGATGAACAAGTAAGAAAAGCAAGCCTGATCTTCGTAGCTACAACGAAGCGTGCGTTCGAATCTATCGCGAGACGTCATCTGTCATCGAAAAAACGACGTCCGAGAAGCAACGGAAGACAACACCTGATCTTGAAGTGCAGAACACCTACATGGCACCGCGGCGTCACGCCAACGGCGGCCACGGCGGTGGCGGTGGCGGCGGCCTCCTGGAGAACGGGGGCGGTGGTGTTGGCACTAACGATCCCATGGATAATCTCCTGGGTCCGAGCCAGACGACGCGCTGCTGCACGCCGACCGGCGAATGTCTGCGCGGCGACACCCTCATCCGCCTTAACGCTCTGCACGATGCGGTCAAGGTCACCTGCAATAACGATAATTGTCCGATCGGCCAGTTCATGCACCGTGAGTGCTTTGACGCCTGGGAGCAGACGGTACTCACGTATCTGAAGAGCTGCGGCCGCGCTCGCAGCTGGTCCGAGCGTCAACGTCATCAGAATCTCTGGACGAAGAAGGGATACGATCTCGCATTCAAGGCGTGCGGCTGCCGCTGCGGCCGCGGCCACCTTAAAAAGGATCTCGACTGGATGCCCCCCGGTCTTGGCAACGTGCCCGGCAATCGTCCCGATGAAAACGAGGCGAAGAAGAAGAAGCGGCGCAATCGTCAGAACACCAGGCCGAGCCTAGCCGTGTCAGCCGGCCCGCCGAATCATGGCAACCACGTCGTCGCCGCGAACGGCCGTGGCACCAGCGAGGCGCAGATGATCGAGGCTGGCCGCGGCAGAGCCGGCTCTTTGTCGTCCAGCACCGGTTCCAGCTCGCCACCGGCTACCAGCGAACCGAGCGTCAGCCCTCTTCATCAACCGCAGGCTATCATGAAGAAGAAGAGCAAGGTCGACTTTTTCAGCGATCGCGCGAGGTGAGTACTCTTCTCTTATTGATCTCTAGAACAAAAAACGTTACATTTCACCTTTCTCTGCGGACGATTTCTTTGTGGAACCGAAGGAAGATTGACAATTGCGCGCGTGATCATATATATATATATATATAT